TTTTTTTTACCCGAGAACATGTCTGACTTCACCAAAGAGCGGCGACGTGAGGATCGCAACATCGAGCACGAAAAAAGGTCTGTTTACATTCCCGCCTCAGTCTGTCATTAGCGGCTAAACCTTTGTCTGTGTTCGTTAAATGGAAACCACTGCGTCAGATTAGCTTAACCTTTGTCTGCAAAGATGATCTGGACATTTTGAAGGCTAAAAAACATTTATTGTACCTGATGGACCTGCGTGACTCTAGTACACGCAGTGTTCTTGCTAGTATCCATGGTTACCTTATTTTCTTTAAGCTCGTAGAAGCTAGCAGTCTGTAGCAGGTCTGTCGTGAACAGTGGACCTGACAGTGATGCTAGCTAACAGTGCGGGTAAAAAGGTGACGGTTAAATACAGACAACTGCTAAAGCTAACACTCGAGTACATTGTGGACTGTGAATGCTAAGTGTGTAACACACAAGTGAGTGTATGAAACGTGACAGGTGGTTAACAGCTGTAGTTATAACGTGAAGTAAAACGTCTGATATTAGAATACGCGGTCCTAAGTCCTCCAGGAAAAACAAGCCTCACAGATGGATGATGGTCCGCACAATCGGAAGAAGTTGGCGGGAGAAATTGTCTATTAAAGGAAATGCATGGCTCCAGTTTTACCCACTGTACTCAACTAACCATTTATTATTAAATAAAGTTCACTTTCTCTAGACTTTAATCTGTCTAAGAAGGTTTAAAAGAAATTCCCGGATTTTGAAACAGTTAGTGCAGCTTTGCCATTTCTGAATACGGAGACGTGAAACGATCATGAGTGTTTTCCTGTGTGGGGCCGTGCGTCCCACCGTGTGTTTGCAGTCCTTGCACATATTTGCTGCTTTTGTTTAACAGCCATGATTTTTTTTTTATTTTGACACAGAAGAGAATGTTTTTGAGATGTGTTTGCAGAAATCTAATATCAAAACAAGAATGAATTAGCATGTTTTAATCTGCACGTGTTTTGTGTCTTCTTGTGTAGCTTTGGCCCATCTCGGTGGTCCCACTGCAGGAAGAGGGGGATCAATGGGAGCCTGAGGAGCAACGGCGAGGCAGATGATATTGATAGAGGAAGGAACGGACACACTGACTCCAGCTACAAACACCCTGATCGCAGACATCCCAGGTGAGAGTGAGATCAGTTAATGTGGAAAGTGATAAACATGTAACGCAGCGGACTTGTAACTGAAAAGCCACGAGGCGGCTGAAGCTTTGTGGATTTTTGGCGTTTGTTGGGGAAATGTTTCAGACTGGACCAAAAACCCACAGCTTTAATGGCCCTGTTCAAAGGTGCTTTGTTAAATGTGTGAGAATTTCATTGGTCTGTGTAGTTCACATCCAAACTCCAGTGTAGGCTCCAGAAGAAAAACGAGTGGTTCTTTTAATTAAAATAAATAACACAGTGGTTGTAAAGTAATATTTGGTCAATTATTAGAATGATTTTAGTTTGAATGGTAGTGTTTAAAAAAAAATCTAACTACACTATAACTGAGTGAAGCAAGCCAGTCTCTGCTAATGAACCACTCTAAAAATCAGGTTACTGACTGCATTACCAACATGTGGCCACGACATCTGCTGGAACTGTAGCAGTAACATCCCTGTGTGTGTGACCTGTGCTATTGTCCTCCTAGCTTCACTACACCAGAGAGCACAGGCTCAGTGTCCCGCTGTGGTCGGCAGGCTGACTGGGGCAGCCAGGTGGAGGACGATGAGATGAGGAGGGACGTGCACAGAGACATGCAGCGGTAATTAAACAGTTTCTGCATCATTTCAGGTGTCTTTTTAAGCACATGAAAGCAGATACTCTCTTCCTGTTTGGGATTGCAGACTCACTGTTTGCACTGTGTTCAGTTACAGGAGGAGGATACTGGGGGCAGAATTCACCCAGAGGGAGAGAAGGGCCTCGTCTGGCTCGTCTGGAAGGTATCTCATTCTCTCACAGACCTTTAAACTCAGAATATTCATGAACTGATGGAACACTCACTTCTCAAACCACATATCCACCTGCAGCTATACAAGTGTGCAATGTAGTTTTAAAAGTAAAGTGCTCAGCATCAGAATATGATGCGATAAATATCATATCTGCTATGAGACGATGAGGGTTTTCTGTCCTTGTGACAGCGAGGCTGAAACACGACGTGTCAAACATCGCTTTAACTGCCGTGTCACGGGCTGTGAACTCATTACTAATGTAAAAACTCAGATTTGTTCATTAAACGGTAACACAGGCTTGTTTAACGCAACAGTAACTTTGTGTTTACAATCATTTACGAGTAAAATCATTATGAAGGAAGTCGGGCTCTTGTCGTGAGGAATGTTAGAGTTGTGTCTTTTTGTATTGCGTGCATGTGAATGTGGACTAAATGTGTCTGTGTGCTGCAGCTGTGACTCCAGAGAGGGAGATAACATGGAAACCGATGAAGCTGTGTTGCTACGACGACAGAAACAGATCAACTATGGCAAGAACACGCTGGCCTACGACCGCTACATCAAAGAAGTTCCTAAGTAGGTCGACAGAGACGCGTGCTGTGGAACATCCGGCGTAAAGCCTGCCCGCTGCTGGTGTGTGTGACACACTGGTCAGCATTAACCTCGTGTTTCTTGTTTTCAGACACATGCGTCAGCCAGGCGTTCATCCAAAAACTCCCAATAAGTTCAGGAAGTACAGTCGTCGCTCCTGGGACCAGCAGATCAAACTGTGGAAGGTCAAACTACATGCCTGGGACCCCCCTGCAGAGGAAGGCCAGGACAAGACCCTCGATGTCGTGTAAGACACTCGTACACATTCTGCACGTCGTCAGTCAGCTGCTGGCCGTCCTCATGTGTGATGTGTGTATTTCTCCTTCTCCCACCAGTGAGGAGCTCAACCTTGATGATGTAATGGACATTGAACTAGATTTCCCAACCATTACTGACTCCCAGAACACCCAGACCTCGCTGCCGATACACAGCCTGTCAGTGGAGGTGAGTGGAAGTCACTGAGGTGCTGCTGAAATGTTGAGATCGTAGAGTTTGATTAAGAGGTTTTGACTGGATCTTTCTGGAAGCTTGGTTTAAATATTTATCTGGTCCATTGTTTAGATGATCATCAGTGTTTAAGAAAATAAAGATGATGATGATGGTGGTGGGATTGCTTGTAAACTTGGCACAAAAAGAAAGGAAACGTGTTTGCTCAGCTTTCTCTTTACTCAACTCTGCTGTTTGGATTTTTCTGGCAAATGTGGCCCATTTAAGGTGAAACAACCAGGCTGTCCAATGGGAGCAAACACAGGTCTCCTTGCTTTTTTGTGCAAAGTTTAATCAACAGATGAAAAAGCCAAACTTACAAACACTGTATTAAATGATATTGTTTGTGTTGTGTTGCTCAGGATGAAGACTGCGGTACTCCGGTCAAAGTACAAAGGACAGCAGAGCCTAATATTGCATAGCTTGTTATTGAATGGTTCAGTCCTCCCCCCACATCGACTTCACAGTCCACTCAGAAAAAACTGCTCCAGCTGCCGGCTAAGAGTCTGTGTGGACACACTCTGTGTCTTTGGCTGGTAGTCACTGATTATAATTAATATAAGTTTTGTTTTCATCATATGTTTCTCCATCCATCGTTTGGGCCATTTGTTGAAGTTTCTGTTCGGAGTATTTTATGACAAGATTTTACATTTTTATCGACGCATGTTTCAGAATTTGGTATTCAAAAAACCCCACTTGCTGCACCAGTGAGAGGCCTGTTGGAGTGTGCGTCTAGTTTTGTGCAAATGTGAGCTTACATCTCTCATATTCTACCTGAGAAGATTCCAGATGCATAGAAACTGTCTGAACTCGAAGTCGTCTTAATAGAAACGGAGGCAATGATGTGTTGTTTGAGTTATCCTTGAGAAATATTGGGCTGTGGCTTTTTCTGTTTTGTTTTGTTGTTTTAATACAAATGTAATTGTTTCTTACTGCTGTATCTTTAATAGAACTTGAAATAAAAAACAAACAAACAAATAAAACAATCAAGAAAAATCAATGTTTCTTCTTTTTTTTTTGTGATTTTTGGCTAAAAACTTGAAAACTTGGTCCATCATTGATTTAAATAGTGACTTTGAAACCAGAGTTTCTCTCTGACACACTTCGCACAGCTGATGTAGTAATTAGTGTAAAATGTGTGTTAAACTGGAATACTGTATGCGCTCACACATAACCAGAGTTGTATGCTAGAGAGTATAGATAACCAGAACTGCTCGGCACTGGTGACAATCTGCTTAGTTTAGGAGCGCTGGGAAAAAATAAGGATCATCTGTCTGAATTATGTCACTGATCGAGGCTTGGACGAAGGTGGACAAACTGATTTGTGTGCCAAAAAAGATGGAAGAATGACGGGAACAACATAAGGGGGCGCTGTTGTGCACTTAAACGTTTAATCCACGCAAAGTACTGAGGAGAAGAAGAGTGCGTGAGAAGGCGAAGAAGAGCAGCAAAGAAATTATCTGTTTCTGTGCAGGTTGACTTATTTAGGAACTCAGAAACCAAAGTAGGAGACGACCATGCTGAGAGCGTGTCTGAGAGGGGCTAATGCTACCGCCCGGGTAAGCCTGCTGCCTGCTCCCCAGCCGCGGGCTAACGTTAGCGTGTTGTCATTCAGTGACCCAGAGCCTGCTTCAAGGTGCCACAGTGAATTTACTCGTTCGGGCTGTTAACTCTTCGGTGCTGTCGAGCGCTGTGTTTGGAGCCATGCAAGTGGTTGTGGAAGCTGTCAGAGAGAACAGCGCAGCATGCTAATGTTAGCCGGGTTTCTTCCGGTGACAGATGGATAATGGCGTTTTAAGCATAACCAAGCTAACGAGTTTGGCTAAGTTTGAGCGGAGAGGTCATCATGGCAAAAACCAAAACTTGTCTGTTTAACCTTTTATCGGCCACAGGTTTGATAACAGCTAACCGGAGCAGTATTTTATGCTACTAGCGGCACTAGCCTTTAAAACGCGTTTGCACGTAGACTTGGTATTTATAGTGAATCAGAACAAACGCTGCAGGTTGTCTTCGCCAAATACTAACGCATGATGTGCGCTCTCGAAAACTTTATGTTCTGTTTCTGGGATTAAGTGTGCAGCTAGGCTTCTGTACAGTGACAGAAAGGTGGCGTTCACCTGTTAAAGTGGACCGGAATAAGTTTGACATCCCTGGTCTACAGCATCACACTGTTGCACAGATGCTTTATTGAGCCTCGGCTCTTCTTTCCAGCTGACACGGAAACATGTTCGTCTCTACCGGACTCAGCTCGGATTTGTTTGCCATGTACCTGAATCTGTATTTACAAAATAAGAGTGCAGTTTCCTGCTCAGAAACCATGCTTTGTACTTCATTTGCTGATCTGTTTTAAATGGTAAATCAACAGTTTTGCTTATTATTGTTTAGATTTAATCACGTTAGATTATTTTTATGATTTAACAGCAAGTGAAAAACTGCACTACACTTATTACTTACTTATTACTAAAATCCATATATTACTTACGCTACAGTTAAATGGGCAAGCTCGTGTGTGACATGAATATCATGAAATTTAAAATTGAAATCATCAAATGCTGATCACCTGGTTGTGATCGACCTGTCAGTATAGTCCTGCGCCTCTGCGGCCGGTCTACCCTTCCAGCTCGGCTGCTCTGCGCAGTATCTGAGCTGTTCCTGTGACTGCGCTCTGCGCTGCTTCAGTCCAGTCCTTGTTTATGTTGGCACCCCGCACCCCTGTCTGTTTCTCCTCTTAATCACTGGTTTCTTGTCTGCCACCTTCCCACTGAAAAATTCACTTGATGAAGCTGTCCTGAAACTAACCCGTGTCCATCCGAGCAGCGTGGCCTCGTCCTGACAGAGAATGAAACCTCTGTTTCTGAAGGCTATTTAATGTAATTACATGAAAGCATGGCTCAGAGTGCTCAGGCTGTTTTGAAGAGTAAAGGTGTTCAAAGTACTGATTTTCAAGCTTGTTAAAATTGCACAAAGTCTGTTTTTACCTTAAGAACAGCATCTCTGCACCTAATTCCCCAATCTTTTATATGACGATAAGGACATTGTGTAGTCTGTTGCTTGCACTGAAATTTGTTGCTCTGTCCTTGCTGTGAATGTGTGCCCTGGATCTGTGTGACGTGGATTTCTTTTCACTGCCACGCTTTCCTCACCACTTTCCAGAAGAACTACAGGAGAATCCCTCTTACCAGTCTGCAGCAGTGTCGGCACTACACCGCAGGAGAGGGCAGGTAACACACCAACACACCCAGTACACTAATGAGTTGTTTAGGACTAGCACATGGGCTTCAGCTGTCTTCTTAAGGGCCTCTCACATAGATGCGACATGTGCTGTGCCTCCCACCAAAATCCTGAGATCACTATGTGCAAGTCGGCTGAACTAGGACACAGAGTGCAGCGTCCCTTCTCAAAGGCCGTTAGCGAGACTGTCCATTCATTCATGTCTGCTTGTCCTTTTTCATTTCAGTAGTGCTTCCAAAGTGGTTGTTGCTGGCTTGTTGACAGTAAGTGGTGGCATTGGAGGGACCGTACTCTATGCCAAATGGGACCA